TGAAGATGATGGAGACACCCTCTACGAATTCGCGTCGTTTTCGTTTCAATTTGGTCGCGTCGCGTTCGTCAAAATCGTCACTTGTAGTAGTTTGACTTGGGGGTAGGGAACCCTTAGTATTCCATGGGAATTGGGTTTAATCTTGTTTGATGCTAGATGTCCTTACCCAAAATTTCTATTACGTTTGCGCATCATGGGTGTCTAATAAAGTACAAGACAATAAAGTGGTGGACCACGTCTGTATCTTTATTAAAGATGTACGAAAGTAAACAATAATTATAAATTCTTTTAGGTTTTGCTCAAATCCAGTTAATGTTTACGAATCTTAGGAAATAGTTTGAATTTCGTTTCGTACATCTACTTAGTATGGGAAGTAATGAAGTTTCAAAATATAAATTTTCTTGATATTTAATGGTTTAATAAATGGAATAGGGTAAAGTTTTGCTGATAGATGGGATAAAAAAAAATTGCTTGGGTAATTTAAGTTATAGCTAGGGTTAGCTTTGTTTTTTTGTTTTTGCCGACTGATGTCGATGTAAAGTAAAGTAAAGTTAAGGTTAGGAGGGAGATGTACGAGGGATTTTGTTAAGGTTTTGCTCCCGTAAAGTCTTTGCAATAAAACTTTGCAAACAGTTAGGGTTCTTTTCCCGTAAAGTTTTTTTTTGCAAGTTTTGCAAACTTATTGTGAGGGCTAGTCTGTAGTAAAGGCCACCTCCCAGTTGTATTTATGTCCTTAAGCAGGTAGGGATTTTAGATAGGACCGTCGAACCCTCTCGATGTAATAGGTAGGAAAAAAAAAATTTTGTTCGGTCATCTGGTATGACAAAACAATTTTTTTTTTAGAGGTGCCGGAGGGATGTAACGTCCTTGATGTTGCAGCCTCCTTGTTTAGGTAAACTCTTTGCTTTTGCAATGCCTACGGTTGGCAGTTATATTAAAAAGTTAATGTCATGATTTTAAGATTTGAAATAAGGAATCGTCTGTCTTTTGATAGAAGATTTCATTCATAGATTAGATCTTCAGGCGCCAAGAATTCCTCTCGTATTTAGATAAAATACTTTTATATTAGCCTGAATGATAAAACAAAATAAATAACTTATCTCTATCAGTATCTTTCAATTAACATCTACGCTCCCAGGTTCTATCCCTTCTGGGTAGAACTCTGTAGTACCCCCGAAAATAGTTTAAGATATATAAATTCTCTAAAACCTACTCTACGAAGATTATAATCTGATAGTTTACGGTCCCAATTTTAACCTCACATTGATAAAATGAAATTTCGGTTGAACTTCGCCTGTTACCGATAGTTCTTTGGAGGGCAGAGGTTTTCGAATTCGCATAGTTCGCAAACCGAAATGTCAATGTCAAATTTTGTATGGAAACTTGAGCAGCAGCGGCACAAAGTACGTAACGAGAATTAAAAATCAGTACACATTTGACAATGACATTTCGGACTCGCAAACGATACGAATTCGATATTGGTTCGTGCTGGAGGTACTGTACTATGCTACATTAGTACACACTCATTTGACCCTCACCCTCCCCCCCCCCCCCAAGCACTCACTACACGGGCTGCTTGACTCTTGACACGTTTTCACTTTCCGCCTTCGCCGAATGTAAACCGAGCGCATTTCGTATGAACTGAAAAATGTTTTGAACGCGAGAAGGTCAAGTGCGGTCGTGTTTTTAGATTACGTGGTCTCTTGAAGACATACCTAAAGAAAGTAAAGTAAAATACATGGGACATTATAAAAAAAAGTTAGTAAAACAAGTTTTTGGACGCAATCAGTCATCAGTAAAATTTAATTCTTGTTAAACTGTCTTGTGGTATTCAATCGTTCGTGTATTATATTTGCCAACGCAAGAAGAAGAGTAACCTCATCAGTTTTATGTTGTTCTTTTAATGGTTTTTACACTACCACTGAATAATAAATAAATATTTCCAACAAACACTAATTAGCCTAGCCCCAAAGTAAGCACTCTAAGGTTTATATTACAGAATGACAACTAAGTGTTGATCTTTACTTGAGTACAGTTAGAAAAGGATGTCGCTATATATAGCACATAGCGTCAAAACTTAGTTGTCATTATTTTATACGAGCCTAAGGCTTGTTTTATGGGATGCTAAGGTAACGGATAGAAATCATATACTGTACATATATAAGTATATTTATATAGAAATACATATTAAACATCCATGACTGGAGTACAAATGCTCGTATTCATCACACAAACATCTGCCCCCACCGGGGTTCGAACCCGTACCTCTCGAGTCGGCGACATCATGAAACCCGGTGTACAAACCACTCGGCCACGATGGACGGGCCACTAAATAATTATAGTTTCAGATATCATTGTTTTTAGCCCATTTTCCTTATTCTAAGAGATCTTTTGTAATTATAATATAAGGAATAAGTTGAACAGCTTCATTCCAAAACTAACGAATGAATAATTTTAAAATTTTAAAACAACTGCATTGACTGAAACTAACTGAAAAGTCAAAAACAAGTTCAAATAAATATTCGTGTCATTGAGATACTCAGCAGTTTCATGCTTAAATAAGTAAACAATGTTTCTTCTAAAATATCTTTGTTTTGTTAACTTAAATCCTGAGCTAGTAAATATTGCTTGCATGAATATGTGTCCATTAATTTCTGATAATCAAACTGACCATCTAAATAGAAATTCCTTCATTTTAGCCCGTCATCATCCTCGCTTAGCTTCGGTGTAGAGCTGAAGTGTAGACTACAGTTTTTTTCTCAGGCTTGTATTATACACAACGAAATTCATCTATGATTCTTCTTATACCTGCATGCACAGTCTCAGCCCGATCGGTTTAAAATTGACAAAGTTTCTTACAAACTTTTATTCCCTATTTTATCCCCTTGGGGGTAGAATTGATCAAAATCCTTTCTAAGCGGATGCCTCATAACATCTACCTGCATGCCAAATTTCAGCCCGATATGTCCAGTGGTTTGGGCTGTGCGTTGATAGATCACTATGTCAGTCAGTCACCTTTGAGTTTTATATATATAGATTATAAAAAAACTGAAGATGGTATATTTATCTTTTCCAAACTTCTATTGACATCACGTCGCTCAATTGTTTTGCCTTCCCAGAATCTCTCCACTAACATTTGAAATTTATGGTATGGTTCAATTTGTTAAAGTTCAAATTGACTTTTAAGTATTATTACGAATCGTTTGTATGGGAGTAAAGAAAAGTTTTGTTTTTTGACATTTTCAGGCATTTTTTTTAATTTTTCTCTTCGTAAGAACCATCCTCGTACTTCAAGGAATATTCTAAAAAAAATAAGCCAAATCAGTCAAGCCGTTTTCATGTTATGTCGTGACAACGGAAAACGGGTTTCATTTTTATATATATATATAGATGTAAACCACACTACCAAATAACTCAACATCAACGTGAACTAAATAAGCAACATACTGAAAATAACCATTAAGTCTAGACTGAAACTGACACACGAGATATTTCTGATGTGTGGCTCAACACATATTAGTCGCGACACTAACAAACTCACTTTTACCAGTTCTCCGTTGAATATCAAAGTGGCAAAGAGCACTTTATGTGCCAGCTAAATATTTTACATTACACGGACCCCCATCACTAAAAGGCTAGGAGAGTTTTTTTACACTTTCAACACGGGGAAAGAGAGAGCTCGTTTGAGCTTTTAAATTTAAAGAGACACACATTTTTTGCTTTACTTAGTTTCTACATTCTTTTAGAGTTTAAAATAACTGAGTACGGAATTTTTTCGAGGATATTGCACATGCTTGTCGTCAAATGCTTGTTGGAAAGTAATTAGACGATATCGCTTCAGTCATCATCACATCGCATCAGTCTAAATTAGGATACACATAGAATTAAGTAAAGAAAGAAGAAATTATGTTAACGTAGTTTAAACTACATGAACTAACACTAAAATAGATTGTAAGAAGTGTAAACTTCAAGTACTGGAAATAAAAAGGCTTTTTTATTTTTATTTTATTTTATCGCGTCAGTCCTGAGCGTGGATAGTGAATAAAATAGATGGACTATCCTTGAAAATGATAAGGACAAAAAGTGCAGGAAAATTTACTCATAATAAAAATAACCTGATAACCTTAATATTTACAATCATTTAAGAATGACTTTGGCCTTTACTTTATATGAAATTTTACCAGTTGTTATCTTTCATTGCGTCGCTTACTCAAAAGCGATTGAATTGCTAATAAATCATGAATTACAAGTTTTTTTTTGGTCACAACTAAAGTATCATTTTTTACCAACCTCATTTTTTAATTTGGAATGCCGAGATAGCTGCAGTGGTAAAAAAAAAAACAGTTATCTTGTCCTTGCTTTATTTTAGACTTTTTATTTTATTATAGTAAAAGTATAGTATTCTCCTGCTTTATTTTTTTTAGTTGTTATAATAGGTTGTATAGTTTATAATAATAAAACAAGTTATAACGTTATTAGAGAACATGATTTTTTTAAAATTCAACTTACTATTAGGGTTGTCATTTAGGAATTTGAAAAGTCCTGGCAAGAAGCCTAACGTTTCGGTAATGAAAACATTACTAGCTTCGTTATGGTGGTACGGTAGGCATCTAGGCATGGTGGACGATCGCATTACGAAAAAAAACCGGACAAATCAAAGAGTCCGGACATGTCCGGACTAATCCGAACGGATAGTAACCCTACATGGGATAGATAACGGAGCCTTAGTAACAGAATTCCGATTTCACCATTTGAGATCGGAAGCCTTAAACCTAACATAAGTTAACAATAAACTTATTTATAAATTTCATTACCATCTTATGGCAGGGCTTATCTTGTCCAGTCTGGTTATTCACAAAGGTTAATTAATAACTTCTTTAACCCTCTAGTAGTAGTAGTAGTCCAGTTGTTAGTCCGGTAGACCGAACTACTTAAACTTTCCAGTTGCGATAGTTCGGTTATATGCGTCATTTTAGTAAGAAACCTAAAAAAAAACTCACGTGGTGCACTTTCCAGCGCTTGCCAGCGCCAAGTGTAGCGCCAATAGCAGCGCGCCCAAGGCCGCCATCTTGTGCTGATGACGTCAGCGCATTTCCTCCGGCCGGATATTAGCTCCGTGCGGAAACCTGCGAAAAAAGAGATACCGGCTTTATTCGACGGGATTTACTTAAATAACTCAGCGCTTTTTAACAGGAGCTTCTGATTAAACATCGAAGACCCCGCTAACGTCGTTTGGGATACAAAACTGATAGTACAGAAGGTAATCTCATATATGTACTTGACTTTTCATACCTGTGCTCGGCGGTCGCGTTAGGATTGTCGACTAGCATAAGCAGATAAAACTATCGTGGTAATAGCAGTCGTATCTAATTGTCGAGAATGAAACAGAAAGAACGAAATAAACTAATAATAACTAAAATATTTCAAGTATTATGTTATTTTTATATTACAAATTAGAAAAATGACATCACCGTTTAATGTTTCATTTAAAAACCGTCTACTGAACAGGTACTATAACTTTTTTGTAGTGGTCAATTTTCGCACAATAATTAACAGACGGAACGTGACGGCAAGTGGATGAAACTCGAGCTCGATCTCGAACCGCTTACGCTTACCTAAGCGGTCCGAGATATCGTGTATGTGAGCTTTGTCTATGTGTGCGTTGCTCGAACGCACGTATGTAGATTATCTTCTGCACTATCTATTTTGTGTTTGGATCGACTGTGCTCTTATGTAGGTTGTCAATAATGAAAAAAATTGCAAATTGAATTGAATTGAATTCTTGATCTTAATGCTAAATGAATGAAAACCTTTGAGCCCGTTTGGAACAACTCCAATTTTATTGAAACATAAGCGTAAGTGTAAAATTAATGAGGTCAAGTCTGGACTTGGAGTTCTATTCTGTGAGTCACGTTTCACCTCTGAATCCGCGCTGTGATTTAAATAAGTGCGCAAATTTCAAATCAAATCAAATGAATTCCGGCTAGTGAATTCCGCAGTGAAAAGTGAGTCTTTTTCTTACAAAATAGCACTGCTGAACCATCGCTGTTACTGAACCTACCAAATATGAAAATTATATGATCTAATTAGCTTTTACCCTCGACATCATAACCGTTAAGTTGAGCTATTCGAGAATCACAGGAAAATAATTTTGTTTCAGGATAAAAGTATCGTATGCCGTAATCCGGCTAATAAATAACTGTACCCTTAGCACGTACCAATATCGAATTCGTAAAGTTTGCGAGTACGAAATTTCTTTGTCAAATGGGTATTGATTTTTAGTTTCCGTTACATCCGTTATGGCGCTGTAGTATTTTTTTGAAGTGAAAGCTTCTTTAGCGGCGTTGTACACTTTTTTTTGTATGGGTAAAAATGTTAAATTCGCGTCAGGTTAAACACGTGGGCTGATCGCGTCATGACACACAATAAAATTGGAAAGATTGTTGACTTTCAATATATTGGCTGAAACATAGTAATATTTTATTTTAGCGTATTATAATTTAATATTCAAGTTTTCACTTCTGCCGGCACTCCCGGAGTGCAACACGTTTTTTTATTACCAGCTTCTTTATTCCTTAAAAACCTTCACAGTCAAGGTAATAAAGTAAGATTAGGCCTCATCGTTGGGTGTAAACAACGTTTTCGATTACTCAAATGATTCCCGAAGTTCGCCAAAATTTTGTTTTATTTATTTATTTATTTATACTTTATTGCACAAATGAGTGTACAAGTGAAGGACTTAATGCCATTAGGCATTCTCTACTAGTAAACCGGAGAATTAAGCAAAGATCTTAAAAAGGTAGTGCAAATTATAAATGCAAATTGTAATGTACTTAGCGTCATAAACCAGTTTTATTACTTTTTGAGAAGTATCCTTTGGAATTTTCAGTTACCTATTTTTTATATAGGTGCGTATCAAATAGTAACTCCCATAAAACCAAATCAAACTCTAACAAAGCAATGCGTACCTATCACCTGGTTGTATGTAGAAAAATTATAAGCATTTTTATACTTGCAAATTCATCAGATTATTACAGACCACAATACAAACAAAATCCAGACATTTACTGAAATCTTATTTACAATTCCCTATAAATCTAAAGAAAAATTAAAACCAGAAAAAAATATACGCAGTGCAGGTAGCAGACGGGTCGTGAATTTTTTCTAGTAAAATTTTCTTTAAATCTAGCAGTTAAATGCTTTAAATATACATAACAAAATATATTCCATATTAATTTAAAAAGTTTGTGTATGTAAAAAATGAATAAGAAAAACCAAAGTGGTTTGAGTAGACATAGATTCAGAAGGTGTTTTCATTCAAACTGTAACCATTGATAAGCGTTTCATTCCTTCACTATGACATAATACCGAATTGTTAAGATATGTCCGATTCCAACCTTTCCAAATAAAATCTTCCGAAGCTCCTTCAATACGGACAAACACTCCCGACCAAACCTATTAATTACACCTATGTTATCTCGCGTTACTGCGTCGATTCCACCCGCACCCCTTAACACAGGGGAAGAAATCTATTTACTCACATCAAAACCAAACGACGCAAGCGAAAAAGATCGGCCATCTGTAGATGCCCAACAATTTGCTGACCCTACTTTATTTCGCTACGGGCCCGAGACGTGACGCGTATATGAAACACGTGGCAAAGGGAAGAATTATACCCGTACACAGTCATACATAAAACATAACACATATTGCCGAGATACAGTACAGAGTAATGAGAATGACTTTATTGGTTTCGGTCATGTGCCTCTTTTGGATGAAGTCGTTTATAGTAATTACTGGATATCGTAACTTCCGCTTTATGTTCGACCTTCTTTCTGCTACATAAAATACAACTCTTTAGAAGTCTTGAACATTAGTAGTTAGTGACTAGACACAGGTTTAAGGGGTAGCGATAAAAATATAAATCCCGTGACCGTAACACAGTGAACAATTTTTCGATATAGCACAACCTGTCTTGTAGTATAAAATCATTGGAAACGAGAAAATATAAAGTTATTTCTCGAGTAAGGGTGTCCGAGTAAATTACCTTTTTTGTCGTTTTTCAGAACGCACAAGACGTTTAAACTATCACTGTGTTTAATATTGAAATCCAGACCCTCTACCACATCACATCACTATTTTGATGTACAATTAATTTTGATATTTCAAATTGTTTTTTATTGATTTTTCGATAGATCTATTTTTTTTACTTTTTGTAATACCAGTAGCTCACAAACATAATAAATAATATATACATAGAAACAATTGGCCAATTATAGGTTTTCGCGTGTAGATAAAACTAACGGTCACACGCGACTTCTTCCATGTTAAGTTTAGTTTTCTGAGAATCCCACAGAAACCTGACATTTTCCGGGACAAAAAGTATCCTTTGTCACAATCCAGTTCATAAAATATATGCGTACCAAATTTCATCCAATTCCGTTCAATAGTTTTTGCGTGATTGAATATCAAACATGAAAACTTTCGCATTAAAAGTATTACCACGATAAAATTAGTAATAAAATCTATATATACTTGTATATAACTCAAAGGTGACTGACATAGTGATATATCAACGCACAGCCCAAACCATTGGATGGATCGGGCTAAAATTTGGCATGCAGGTAGATGTTATGACGTAAGCATCCGCTAAGAAAGGATTTTGATCAATTCTACCCCCAAGGGGATAAAATACCGAAGCGAAGCGGATGCGGGCCACTAGTTAGTAATAAGAGGTTTCAGTAGTTACTCGGCCTATTTATCTTTCTTTCTTTTGCTTCTAAAATACTTTAAGACTAGTTTCGTATATTCTTAACCCATTCAAAAATAACAAACCAATAATAGATCGCTACCGCTGACTGCTCAAGATTGTTAGCAACAAGAGGAAAATTGGACTCTATTTACGCCATTGTTCGGAGGGCTTGAACATTTATCTGGATACGAACACAAAGCTAACAATTCCAATTAGACGTGGAAACAATAGATTTGTTCGAACGAAAATGTCGGCCATTGTACTGTGTGGCCAATGAAATGCACGGTAATGGATTTTATCTACGTATTAATAACAAAAATCTACAGGTGAATAATAAGTAGGTATATTTTTGTAATATATTTTTATTTTAAACGTTTGGCTGGTAGTTTTGTGAATCTAAATACAACTTTACTAGTAAAACAATCCGCGCAGTCCAGTCATCAGACACAATTCGAACCTGCATCCCTTTTTTAGTAAAGTTTTCTTAAGAAGTACTTTAGCTTACTAAACTTGAATACCTTTTTAATTGTCTCCGCTCAAATCTAGGTTATGACTCCAGTCATACTAAGAATCACGTACGATCTATTAAAGATTTTAGTCTCGGCAAAATCAATTTATGTCTGAAGCGTTACCTATCTAAAATGACCAACAGATGTGTTGTTCCGTTTAACTTAATATATAAAAAAAATGCTGAATAATTTCATATCACCAAGTCTCAACACTAATATTAACATCCTTTTATTTACTCCAGCTAAGATTAAGGTTTATTTAGCCATGAACCACCTTTCGAGAAGGCGAGAGGTCCCCCTTTAATACGTCTCAAAACGTATTATAGAAGTTTGAACGAAAACCTTCTCTAGAGGAGCGAGAAGTGCGTCCCTCAAGTAAAGCACTCTTATATAAACCCCAGCACACAAAGGTGCTAAACAGTTTGGACAGGGTTCTTAATGGGCAGGCACGCATAAAGGGTGACAAGTGGTGGCCGGCTGTAAAGAATGGCTCTATTTGGCTCCCCGTAATGAACTTAGGATATAACTACGATGGAAAATTTGGATCGGCCTGATCGATTAGGAGTTATGAACCGTTTTCTATAGCAAACAAGACCTTTGTCTAAGTTTCGATATTACAAGACTTTACTTAGTAAACATAATTAATTCTGATTGATGTAGTAAATAGCTTTATTCAATAAAGGTTTAAATGTGCATTATATAATAAGTGATTACAGAGATTTTATGTAGTTTCCTTTTATTAGACTTAAAAGTCGCAAAGACTTGAAATACAGATAAAGCCAGGCTTATTATTTATCTAAATATAAAAAAGTATTTCTTGTTCCTGCTTTTATTTGTTTTATTATGTGTGAATTAAATTATCAAATA